ACATGAGCAGGGAAGGAGCACAGAGAGAGGGGGACACAGAATCTGAAGTAGGCTTCAGGCTCTGAGCCGTCAGCACAGAGCCCGATGCGGGGCTCAACCTCACGGACCGCAAGATCCTGACCTGAGCCGAAGTCGGATGCTTAACCGACTGAGCCACCCAGGCGCCCGCAACATCTGTATTCTTAAAGACCATGCCACACTGCCTGCTCAAGAGCATGTGTAACATGATTTGAACGTGATAAAAATGTTTGGGATTTCCTTACACATATTCTAAATTTATTTTAAAAACTCTGGAGAAAATACACAATGTTTTTTTTCTTACTTTAGGCAAAATATTTGTTATGGTAATTGATAGACTACTGGCGCAATTATGAGTTAACTCAGAGGCTCCTGAGGTTTCATTACCTCGATGATTTGGACAGTACTTTCACTTGTATTTTATGTCCTAAAGATAAATTTTCCTTATCATAAAATATATAGCCTCCTAACCCTTCCTTACCCAACCTTGAATCAAATTTGGAAGTAGCACCCTCCTACAGTGCTTATTTGCCAACCAGTGTAATGTAAGTCTGCTCAGACTCATGGTGTTGGCTCGGGAGATTCAGCACACTAATTAATCCAACACAGTAATTAATTGAGTCACCATGCCAGATGTCAAAGCCTTTTTATATCTTTCAAGTTCCCATCTTGAAGTGCATTAGCAATATGCCACCTTCTGCAGGAAGCCTTTGCAGACCAGGCACTTGGGTGTATAGAGCACATTTCAAGAAATACAGGCTGTATTGAAACGCCAAACAAATTGATTTGACAAAAAGTTATTCTTGGAATTATGTAACACACTGAACATAGAAATAAATAATCTTTTGCCCACACCCCATTATCTTGTTTGATACGTCATGTATCATTTCATGATTTAATAATAGCAGCAACAACATGTAGTTACTACCTTCATTGCACCAGATACGGGTCAGAGAGAGAGGAGAGGGAAAGAGGATATTAACTATAAGGAATTGGCTTATGGAGACTGGCCAGT